TACCAGTCAGTCGGGAGGGGCGGATACCAGTCAGTCGGGAGGGGCGGATACCAGTCAGTCGGGAGGGGCGGGTACCAGTCAGCGGGAGAATGGTTGCGTCAGGCGGGAGAATGGTTGCGTCAGGCAGGCTGGTTTATAGCGGTTGTTTAGAGCGTGTAATCGGCAAACTCAAAAACGCAGGGTTTGTGGGTGATGGCCTGATAGACGGCACCATAGGTGGCTAGTTTTTCTTCGATGTTGTCCTTAGCTTTGTCCTTGGGGTCGAGGTAGATTTTGAGGCACTGTTTTCCGTCGACGCCAATACGAGTTCTCTTGCCGCAGATTTCAGCTGGGCCGGAGATGTCGTCGAGTAGTGCTGTCTGGACGGCGGTAAGAGAGCGAGAGTAAGGGCGGTGAGCCATGCCAACTTGTAGAGACTTGGGTTTCAGCATGGTTCGGAGAGCAACGATACAAACATGACGCTTGGTTTTCTTCTCCAACTCCGTGATGCATCGACCCTGGTTCGGCTTAATCTGGTTCTTGTACTGAGTGTAGGGCACCACCACAATCAATGCCTTCTTTCCCGTCGACTCCACCTCTACCGGGACAACCTTAACAATCTTGATGTTTGACAAACTCGCCCGCAATTCTTTCGATGTCGAAGAACCGGCAATGTCCTGGCACGCCTGCTCAACCTCTTGCATAAGGGGGTCCGTAGTAGAAGCCATCGTCCGCTCAACTCGGCACAAAAAAAAATTACCCTACCATTGTTCTGTCCCGTATAACTATTTAAACGCAAGCTACACCCTCTGTATCATATATACACACCATAACCCGTGCACCTTGCGCCCCTGTGCACACTATCTGCCTTAACACCAGCGCTATCTGCACAGCGCTATCTGCCTTGCACTGCTCTACTATTCACGTAATACACGCGTATTTGACTCACCCTGTAAGCTACCAGACTCGCTCCTAGGCGTCGGACTTGCACCCAAGGCTCTGACGTACTTACTGACCCGCCACTTGCTAGACACACTGGCCGTTACCGTCCGCTACAGTGCTCCGATATACTGTACTGAATTTTTCTGAATGAGTGAGTGCCTTGCCATTGACCTCGCCATGATACACTGCTGTCGTTATGATACCGTGTACTTGTGAACCATCTCCACCCTACTTTTAATTCAGACTTGATTGTATTGGTTCAGCTTGTGGTTCTGCGCTGCGCTGCTGCGGGTATCTTTTCTAAGCAAATCCGTTGTGAGAATGGCACCTGTTCCAATGTGCTCGTTGGATTAATTACGCTGAGCAACGAGGAGGCTTTTGAGTACGAGTCCTTCAATGTCCGCGACGGGACTCGAACCACCACCCCCGAACCCGGCGTCGATCCCGACATGGCCGTCGCTGACACTGCGGCTGACAGCAACATGGTGGTGACACTGAAGATCGAGAAGAGTCCGTTGATGGTGAGTTACCAGCTGAGTTACGAGAAGGACGTGGTAGGGGGCGTGTCTGAGGACGTGTTCGATTATTCATGGGCTAGCGCGGTGGGTGGTGGATCGCACGCGTTCGAAGACGCTCCGGATTTTGACCCTACCCGATGCGACCGTCCGAGTGAAGGGTTGGCTGATTTGTTGAGCAGCAGCACGCCACCGGAGACGCGAAGTTTGCTCAAAGGCGGACGGGTTTGCGGCTGCACTGACACGGGATGGGGATCTTCGCACTATACAGGAACGCAGCGTTCGGACCTCAACTGTAATGCTTGGCCGGCGGTGTTCCGACCCAGCAGTACCCTCTGGGCCAGTCGCCATTGCCCCCGTCTCGCCGGTCCCCTTTATGAAGCCTACGCCATCCGAGATTGGAAATGGGACTACGAACTCAAAGTCACCATGGCTTGGACCGCCGGCGATGGACAACCTAAGGAACGCGTCTACCTCCTCGACTGGGCGAAGCCTGAGGCCCGAGATGATGAACTGGACTTCCACTTTAAAATTATCTTTAGCCTGCCCAAATTCGGCAACCAACCACCAGACCTTCACGCCACGCACTACTTACTCGTGCCCAAGAACGCCACAGCACTCGACGACCTTAACGGTAATGCCCACCACCACACACTTACACTGAACTGCATAGAAACACGTGTGCGAACTCGCCACCGATGCAGACGTCGGCAGCGAGCTGGAGGAGGCATGGCGCCAGACTTCTCGGCGCCACAAGGACATGGTGGTTACTCGTATGACGGAGGCGGAGCGATTGCTGGACGCAAAACGGCAACGAAGTTTGTTGGTGCCGAAGGAACGCGTGGATCTGAGCGGTCGTTCTTGCGATAAAGTTGGAGTGTCACTCTTGACCTGGGCGCACGAGGTGGTGGGGGTGGATTACCGCGAGCCGTCGTGGGTGGGTAAGCCGGACTTTTGTGGGACCAAGGCGGGTACCTGCACACATCTGCAACCCAATGACCTGCTGGCTGCCGACCGGCAACTCGTCCGAGAGAACAAACCCCCCTCCTACCTCCTCGAGTACCAGACGCTTGACGGCTGGTCCGCCGTTGGTCCCTATCTTCTCTCAGATCGCAAACTGCTGCAGTCGACCGGCCAAATTGCTGCGTCCGGTGACAAGATACTCCAAGCTGCAACTCCGCGCATGGCGTCCGTGGTGGCGTGGCCCACGTCGCAGCAGCATAGCACGCAGTTGGAGGTGTCATTGAACTCAACGGACATTGCCTGGTTACCTGCGGTGGCTGTCGGCGAAATCGATGACCTGCTGGTCCACGTACAGAAACCAGGTACCGTCACTCAAGTTTTAGCCGTGGTCCGAAATAAAGAGGACTACGATGCCAAGTTTACTCTCTCCATGCCCGAGTGTACCCTTTCCCAAGAAGCCGCCTCCGACGGCGCGCCCCTGCACCAGGTCCTCGGCCCCGCCCGAGTCGGAGAATCTACTCAGGGCAAGTCCGAGTTGGGGTCGGACTTGGACTCAGGGCCGACTCTAGGATCAGAGTCTGAGTCGACCCTAGCCCTAGGGTCAGAGTCGGAGGCGCTGGTGAGTACGGGAGGGTCGCCGTTGGTGTTGCGCGCAAGTCCCGTTAGTAAGACGTTGAAGGGACCCAAGGCGGAAGTGATGGTCCTCACATTGGAGCGGCTCACGGGGCACTCATACGCCGTGTACTCTTGTGCTCTCTCGCTGCTCAACAGCCAGGGAAGCGTGCTCACTTCGCGCACAGTAGATGTCGAATTCAGTGCACGCGAAGCACCCGTGGCCGCACTCGAGAAACCTCTAGACTCTCACAACAACGTCACCAACTACCGCGTTCATCCCGGCAGCCTGGATGCACTGCCTTACGACACACACACCTATCTTGTCGGCGGTTGGCTCGCCGGCTACAGCCAACCCCCCGGCGCCACCGAGTGTAATTGCGAGCTTTGGAACCTCTGGTGCTACGCTGCCAACAGTCAGTCCCCACCCTTCAACCCCACCCCCCTACCCCACTTCCGTATACCACCCCTACCCCACTTCCGTATACCACCCCTACCCCACTTCCGTATACCACCCCTACCCCATTTCCGTATACCCCTACCCCGCAAACGCCGGCCCTGTTAGTCGTGGAGTGTACGCGCGTAATTCGGCGTGTGGTGGTGATATGTGTGTTGGCACTGGTCGGTGGGTTGTTGGTGGTGTTATTGATGCCGTGTTTGGTGCAGTGTGGCGTGTGGGTGTGTGGGCTGGCGGCACGGCGTGTTATACGTGCGCGTAGCGTAGTGCGCAAACAACGACTGGCAAGTGCGGGGCCGGAGATCACACGGCGTGAGGTAACCAGTGTGGAGTCGAGTGGATACTACTATCAGACGCCGCGCGGCCGCTGCCAGCCGCAAGGGTTCGATCCGCGAGGGTTCGATCCGCAAGAGTTCGATCCGCAAGGGTTCGATCCGCAAGGGTTCGAACCGCAAGGGTTCTCGGACGAGCTGGAGACAGCCCTCCGTTCGGCCTCGGCGCTTCGTTCCGCATCGGCCCTGCGTTCCGGCCGCCGGGAGCTGATTGGCCGTACCGAATGCCGCGGTGCTGACTGGCACGGAGACAGTCGACTCCAGAGCCGCCAGGCCGCCGCCACGGCCAACCCCTGCGGGCGCCAGAGCTCCGAAGTTCGTTCTCGATGCAGCAGCAAACACGCCGCCGTGAACAGTAGACACCGCCCCTCAGCAATGGAGTCGGAACCGCTGGCGGTTCCGCCAGGACCCGGGCCGGGTCCAGGGTCGGGGTCGGCTCAGCCCGGGCCGGTACGGCCCGCGGCGGTACGTCCATGGGCACTATGGCCATGGGCACTACGACCAAGGGCGTCGGGGCAACCGCGACCAGGTCGTCGGGGACTGGCACACGCGCCGCCCGACCAAGGGCTTTCTTCCCCACACCAAGCCTGCCCAGCTCCTACGTCGTCTCCAGCCGAGACGTCAATGAACCGCCGACCGACCCCTGGGCGATACGACTCGGCGACGGCGCCGTGGCCTCCGACTCCCACGTCCTGGATGTCCGCGGCACCGCCAGACACGACAGAGACGCCGACCGTGCCTTCCACTACGGCTCCGAGCGTCTTGGATCCGAGCGCTACGGCTCCGAACACCGACCAGTCCCCGGTTCGAAGTTCACGTACGTCCCCGAACACTACGCCCCTGAACACCACTACGTCCCCGATCAATACCCCGCAGAACATTATGCCGCGGCCGGGGGGCCACGCCGCGCCCTCAAGGACTCACGGAGACGTCACGACAGCTCCCGACCAACCACCGTCAGCGCGCGACCCACCACTTATGATGACCGCCGGCGGCACGAACTGCTCGAAATGATAAAGCGGAAAAGGGACTCCTACCGTGACGCCTCACTCGCCGACGATTCGAGCAGCTAAGGAATATCCGAGTCCAACCCTGCGGACGGGTGTAGCTAATCCGGTAAAGGTCTTGTCGCTACTTAACTCATCCCGCCCCGCTCGGTAGTTAGTGGCCCGTCACTAGTTAGTTACCACGCCGCGGCGCACGTATCGTTTCTCTGACAAACCATCTTCGCGAAACCGTTTTCGCGTGATAGTAGCTAGCTAGCTAGTACACCCTCTATCCCTGATGCACACTGTATCCCCCCCCCTCCCCCAGCACATCGGCATCAGTAATACTCTCTACCCCCACCCAGTACACCCTCTGTAATCTCTATCATCATTCTACTTGATGAGGTGACTGATAAGACACTATACAGACAAGACACTCTACAGTTTTTTAAGTGCCCAGCTTTTGGTACACATGTTTTAGTGCACATCTCTCTGTTACCATAGACCGCCTCTGTTAGTGTACTTTTAGTGTACCCACTCCTTCCCTTGGTTTGCCCGCCCGCACTACCCCTAGTTCTGTTGATGCTCATGGGCTTGTTCCGTTAGCTGTGAAAACTGTGCAGGTTGTCTGGCTATTGAAGTAGAGCAGCGAGTTCCGTGTAACCCCCGATGCACTTTCCGTCGATGAAGATTTGGGGTGTAGTAGAGGCGCCTTGGTTGAGAGCGCCGATGACGATGCTTTTTTCCGAAGGTGAGAGCTCTACGAAGACATATTTAAGTCGTTTTTCTTCCAGCAGCTTTTTGGTCTTAATACAATAGCTGCAGGCATGTGTACCAAAGACGGTGATTGGTTTGGGGATTTGGGCGTCGGGGTTAATGAAGTGTAGCATGTTCTCGGCACCGCTGACTTCGAAGGGGTCACCAGGTGTTTCGGATTCGATGAAGGACTTCTCAATCTTCAGGTCGTTAATCAAAAAGGAGGAACGACGAGCTCGAGGACCAAAGCCCAACTCCTCACGACTCATCCAGATACCCAGCGCCTTGCTCACTTCACCGTTGCCATCCGGGATACTCTTGATGTTATTGACACCCAACTTCTCAAACCATGCCTTCATCACAAAATCATCGTTCATAGACACACAGTACACCTCGTCTACACCCTGCTCACGGAACGTCTCATATAGCTCTTCATATCGCGGTAAATGACTGGTCGTACAAGTGGGAGTAAAGGCACCAGGTAATGCAAACACCACCACCTTCTTACCCTTCCACAATTGACCCACACATACACTTGTAGGCTTGCCACCTTCAAAACGAACAAATTTAGCACTCTCCAACGGCATCACAAATTCTGATTTTTACAAACACGTGTGTCTCTCATATATAATTTGTGTTTGTGTGCGACACGTCACTTCACGATAAGCGCACAACAACTACCGAGAAGATTGTCGGGAAGATTGTCGGGTGATCAACTCCAGTCACCCAACAAATGTCGGCATCTGCTGTCGGCTTTAGCATCATTTATATATTCCCAAATCCCACTCCCACTTCCCTCCCATGACGCGTGAAGTTAATAATTGACCCTAGTGAGTGTAGCGTTCTTTATTTCTCCTTTATGCGTTCAGTAAGGGATCTATTCTACGACTAAACAGTTAGTGAAGTTATTTTTTTGTGTGTTCTCTTTCTCGTCTGATAATTCTTCATCGTCAAGTCCTTATGTTCCTTTTCGATTGCACACACGTGTGCTTGTCAGTCATTAGCGTCCGCGCGGTAATTGGATGTTCGGTACTTAGGTGTAAAGAGCAGTGTCCACGTGAGAAGGAATT